CGTTTGTAATGTTCGTATCCTGCATGTTGACGTAGGTACGATCACCAGGTTTGTTTACAGTGGCAGCTCTTCGGAACAATTTATTATGCTTTCATTATTAACAGAAAAACGTGAGCCCGACACTAATACATGCTTAACACACAACACGGGGAACACACACACACACACACACACACACACACACACACACACACACACACACACACACACACACACACACACACACACACACACAGGTGAGTGTGTGTGTGTGAGTGGTGAGGTGTGCACAACTAGGTGAGTACACACACACTTTTTTAGTGTCAGAGTGGTTGACAAATGGAATGCATTAGGCAGTGATGTGGTGGAGGCTGACTCCATACACAGTTTCAAGTGTAGATATGATAAGAGCCCAATAGGCTCAGGAACCTGTACACCTGTTGATTGACAGTTGAGAGGCGGGACCAAAGAGCTAGAGCTCAACCCCCGCATGCACAATTAGGCGAATTAGGTGAGTACGTACACACACACACACACACACACACACACACACACACACACACACACACACACACACACGGGGAACCCTCAACAGGGGGGCCGTGGCTGAATGGACAGCGCTTGGGACTGGTAATCCCATGGTCCGGGTTCGATCCCGGCCAGGTAGGGCAGGGGATAGGCGGAAACAAATGGACAGAGTTTCTTTCACCCTGATGCCCCTGTTACCTAGCAGTAAATAGGTACTTGGGAGTTAGACAGCTGTTACGGGCTGCTTCCTGTGTGTGTGTGTACTCACCTATTTGTACTCACCTATTTGTGCTTGCGGGGGTTGAACTTTGGCTCTTTGGTCCCGCCTCTCAACTGTCAATCAACTGTGGGAACCGACCTGTGAGATTTATATTTATTTAATTTATATGAATTTATATTTACGTTAATTTATATACTTCGATAGCAATTTGTATAATGATAAGTGGACTGTATTTCTGCAATAATCTCATAATCTCACAAATTGATCCTCTACACATTAGGGGGGGTTTAATAGTTTATATATATATGCAGCCAATCAAACTACAAAATTAACTACATACATTGTAAAGGTTCCTTATCTTATAGTACAGCAGGTTAGTCCACCAGGTATAACTAGGGTGTAGACACCAAATTATCCTCTTTGAGGTAGCTTCCATATCACCCAGTAACTGGTGCACAAATCTTGCATCCTCGTCTTGACCTGTCAAAAGTGCGCTAGCTGTGAAGCCAGAATCCTATATATGACAAGCTATATCAGAGAAAACTGTACATGGAACATTGAAGACCTGGCTTAATTACCTTTAGTTTGAGGCTTCCACGTGATCTAACTGGGTCACCCTATATAATGACATTAATGGCCATAAATGAAGATACATGGGTTTCGGAAAGAACACTTAACTTGATATGTAGACAGCATGTTGAAAAATGGTACACCTTTGGTTTCCATAACACTACGTCCAAGTAAAATTAACAGGAGCCGAATTTGCTCCCGTGTGAGCCTCTGGTCTCGTTATAAATAATGGCTGTTTAACACTCCATACTATTGACGTTACTGGCCGACATTGTCCAGAATGATAGGAGCCGAATTTGCTCCACACGTCTCGGAGGTGACACAACAATGGCTGCCCTCCTTCCTCCTGACGCCTGGCTTACATTGTCCAGATGTCCAAAGGTGATAGAAGGGTCACATTTACTCTACTTTAATATTGATAATTAAGTTAATTTATATAAGATGTTTTTATGATGGTAAAGTCCAAAGACTTATGTATTTAAGAATAATTCCCAGCAGAATAGCTGGTGAATTATAATAGTATGTGGTGATGATATCCCGTTTTCTATAGACGGTAATTCCACTACAAGTTACGTTTTCTATGGGTAACTTGTTGGTAATACAGCTATTATCTGTATGATATATTAAATGGTGTCGGATTTTCCGACATCAACTGGTGTACAGATTCCTGAGCCTACTGGGCTCTTATCATATCTACATTTAAAACCGTGTATGGAGTCAGCCTCCACCACATCACTGCCTAATGCATTCCATCCGTTAACTACTCTGACACTGAAAAAGTTATTTCTAATATCTCTGTGGCTCATGTGGTTACTCAGTTTCCACCTGTGTCCCCTTGTTCGCGTCCCACCAGTGTTGAATAGTTTATCCTTGTTTACCCGGTCGATTCCCCTGAGGATTTTGTAGGTTGTGATCATGTCTCCCCTTACTCTTCTGTCTTCCAGGGTAGTAAGGTGCATTTCCCGCAGCCTTTCCTCGTAACTCATGCCTCTTAGTTCTGGGACTAGTCTAGTGGCATACCTCTGGACTTTTTCCAGCTTCGTCTTGTGCTTGACAAGGTACGGGCTCCATGCTGATGCAGTCCATCTGTAAACTACTCTGACACTGAAAAAGTTCTTTCTAACGTCCCTGTGGTTCATTTGGGTACTCAGTCTCCACCTGTGTCCCCTTGTTCGCGTCCCACCCGTGTTAAACAGTTTATCCTTATCTACCCTGTCAGTTCCCGTGAATTGAATGTGTGTGTGTGTGTGTGTGTGTGTGTGTGTGTGTGTGTGTGTGTGTGTGTGTGTGTGTGTGTGTGTGTGTGTGTGTGTGTGTGTGTGTGAAAAATTAGTTAGCAGTTAGTAACAGTTCATTGATTGACAGTTGAGAGGATATTCTCATAGAGAGGATTCATATAGAATCTCTATTCTCCTCCTCTCTATTCTCTAATAGAATCTTCTCTATTCTCATAGAGAGGGTTCTCATATCAGATATAGACAAAAATACAAGTCACAGTTTCGTATCATCCTTTGCAAATGACACAAAAATCAGTATGAAAAGTTCCTCGGCTGAAGACATTGAAAAACTTCAAGCTGATATTAATAAAGTTTTCGACTGGGCATCAGAAAATAACATGATGTTTAACAGTGATAAATTCCAGGTACTTAGGTACGGTACGTAAATTACGGTACGTAATTACTACGGTAAAAGTAAGGACCTTAAATATAATACAGGGTACAAAACAATCAAATGTATCTCAAGATAACCCATAGTAGGAAAACAGCATGTAAAGGATTTGGGAATAATAATGTCTGACGACCTAACGTTTAGGGAGCATAACCAAGCAAATATTGCGTCAGCCAGAAAAATAATAGGATGGATTACGTGAACTTTCAAATCCAGGGATCCCATCACAATGGTTGTACTCTTCAAGTCACTTGTGTTGTCCCTTCTTGAGTACTACTCAGTACTCACTTCCCCCTTCAGAGCAGGAGAGATTGCTGAAATAAGAGGGAATACAGAGAACATATACGGCACGCATAGACGCGATAAAGCGCCTAAATTATTGGGATCGTCTCAAAGCTCTCCAAATGTACTCACTAGAAAGGAGACGAGAGAGATATCAAATAATATACACCTGGTAGATACTGGAGGGCCAAGTACCAAATCTACACAGTAAAATAACAACGTACTGGAGTGAACGATATGGAAGAAAATGCAGAATAGAAGCAGTGAAGAGCAGAGGTGCCATAGGCACAATCAGAGAACACTGTATAAACATCAGAGGTCCACGGTTGTTCAACACCCTCCCAGCGAGCATAAGAAATATTGCCGGAACAACCGTGGACATCTTCAAGAGGAAACTAGATTGTTTCCTTCAAGGAGTGCCGGACCAACCGGGCTGTGGTGGGTATGTGGACCTGCGGGCCGCTCCAAGCAACACCCTAGTGGACCAAACTCTCACAAGTCAAGCCTGGCCTCGGACCGGGCTTGAGGAGTAGAAGAACTCCCAGAACCCCATCAACCAGGTGCGCCGAAAGAGGCAGAGCTCAACCCCCGCAAGCACAACTAGATGAATACAACTAGGTGAATACACATCTAAAACATACACACACACTGAAGATAATAATTTATGGCAAGAAAGACAAGGGGGAGAATCAAGTATACAAGACACAGAAGCAGGCTGAAATACACGAGAAGCCACACTGCACATGAGTGGGTACAACGCTCAGTACAGGATGAATGAGCAGCAGCATTTGTCATAATCATAAACTTGTGCTAAACAGGATGTCAGTGACTTGTGAAATGTCCTCCCGCTTTTCCTGGGGATTTTTATTTTGGCCAGCTGCATTTTTAACAAGTAACTTATTGGTGTTTAGGCATTGGTTAGGTAGGCATTCTAAAGGGTGCCTACCCTTTAGAATGCCTACCTAGGTACGCATTATTGGCTCATCATTGTCTCCCTAGCAGTGACTGGCTAGAGAGTGGCCAGCTAGACACATAATACGGACCCCACTATGTATAACGAACACTATGTATAATGAAACACGGGGAGCTAATTTGCTGGTAGAGGATCACAAGCCTCTGCAGTAAGGAAACTTGCCCAAATGTCGTTATCTAGGTTTTATATTTTTAAGAATTGTTGATGTTATCAGAGAGAGAGATACTGCCACATGGGCGTGGGCGCACCTTTCTTATCTGACACTAATGAAAAGACTAATAAAAATTTGAAAGAATTTTATTGAGAGAGAGACAGAGAGTGAACACAGGAGTGAGTACATAAGACAACGGGCAGTTAGAAAGGCGGGGTCCAAGAGCTAACAGCTCGATCCTGCAGGTCTAAATAGTAAATAGAAACCCGAGGTAGAAAATACAGTTATTAGGTAGGTAGGTAGGTAGGTAGAAAGGTAGGTAGGTAGATAGGCAGATAGGTAGATAGGTAGGCAGGTAGGTAGGTAGGTAGGTAGGTAGGTAGGTAGGTAGGTAGGTAGGTAGGTAGGTAGGTAGGTAGGTAGGTAGGTAGATAGGCAGATAGGTAGATAGGTAGGCAGGTAGGTAGGTAGGTAGGTAGGTAGGTAGGTAGGTAGGTAGGTAGGTAGGTAGGTAGGTAGGTAGGTAGGTAGGTACATAGGTAGGTAGGTAGATAGGTAGGTAGGTAGGGAGGTAGGTAGATAGCTAGGTAGATAGACGCACAAGAACAAGACGAAGGTTGATGACTTACCTAAGGAAGGTACCTTCACGATGGTCACTCACTCATCATGTTCCTCGTGACCTGCCGGGAAGAAACAAACACAGCTGTAGAGTATTCAGTACTAATAAAACCCCCCGGGTCATTCATATTACCTTTCATTCAGACAGACAGGTAGTTGAAGACATTTATTGTTTCGTGTGGGGGTATCTGAGCCCAGGGTGTTCCTCTGTGGCCTTGTCCCTCTACAACCCAACACCATCACGGGCTATTCATGCCCGTGCCACTTATTGGCTGGCTTGATCCTCGTCAATCAATCACCCCACATCATGTCTATGGGGGTTTACTACACCCTACACTATGGCTATGGGGATGAGTATGGGGGTCCACTACCGTCCATGGGATCAGTATGGGGTCCACTACCACCCATGATATCAGTATGGGGTCCACTACCGCCCATGGGATCAGTATGGGGTCCACTACCATCCATGGGATCAGTATGGGGTCCACTACCGTCCACGGGATGAGTATGGAGTCCACTACCGCCCATGGGTTGAGTATGAGTGGGTGTAGTCTGTGGAACGATGAGTACCTTGCCTTGAGGTTGCCTTGAGGTTACCTTGAGGTGATTTCGGGGCTTAGCGACCTCTCGGCCCGGTCGTCGACCAGGCCTCCTGTTCACTGGACTGGTCAACCAGGCATTTGGACGCGGCTGCTCGCAGCCTGACATATGAGTCACAGCCTGGTTGATCAGGTATCCTTTGGAGGTGTTTGTCAAGTTCTCTCTTGAATACTATGAGGGGTCGGCCAGTTATGCCCCATCAAGCGTTGAACCCTTGATGAATAGATGTGAAGTCTGTTGCTGACAATGAGCATATATTTAAGAAACATTGTTCTTCTATATGAAGAAATTCTGTATTTTGGTTCTGGCTGTAAGAAAGTATTCTTTACTTGATCAATTTCAGGAGACGATTTAACATTTTACCATATGCATGTTTTGCAATTGGCAAGGGATTAAAAGCAGCAGAAGCAATATTAGACGAGTTTCTACATATATATATATATATATATATATATATATATATATATATATATATATATATATATATATATATATATATATATATATATATATATATATATATATATGTATGTATAGCAGATGGTCAATAAGGTAGAGGAAGGTTCTCTGGATAAATATACGTGTTAATTTCAAGCTCTTTACAGTTTTAAATTCAGAACTGAAGTCAATGTTTCTTCATCTTGTTTTGTTTTTTGTTTGCTACATACATTCAAACGACAACTTCTCTGGACAATGTGTCTGATATTTGTTGATATTCAAAGCTATACGATATAATTCAAGAGATTATTTGTTGATTAGTTTTGTTTACAGTGTGGTAATAGTGAAGGTGGCGGAGCTTGAGGAAGACATTACTCTATGTCTCGTCGCAGTTATTTTGTCTTGTGCCAAATTGGTTTTAAGTCTGATCACACGTGCAAGAGCGCAGTACTAAAAGGTCAAACTCCTCAAGCATGAAGAGTTCAAAGTGACGGTGCTCCATAAAACTGGCGTTACATATTGGGTCGTAGTATTGAGCCTCGGGTGGGGGGGAAGGGGGGGGAGGGGGGGCTCGATACTGCTTTCCCGCCGTCATTCGAAATCCGTCCACATGTTAAAAGCCAATTAACGAGTGTCTGGGACGGAGAGAGAGCATGATTCTTGGTCACGGGTCACTGTCGGTTCACTTTCCACGATTCCGAGGATCAACTTCCCTGCGGGCCAGTCTCTGACCATCCTTCCTGGTTGGTAGTCTGGTCAACTAGGCTGTTCGGCGCGGCTGCTCGCTGCCAGAGTCGTGAATCACAGCCTGGTTGATCAGGTACCCTTTGAAGGTGTATATCAAATTCTCTTTTTAACACTGAGAGGTTGGCCAGTTATGCCATATGCGTGTAGAGGGAAACTGTTGGAAATTGTTGTGCCTTTAATGTTGATAAAATTGTCTCTCAGCTTATTAATTGCACCAATAGTAAAAGATGACGGTTGGGGCCGCATTTGTCAGGTTTTCTCAGCGGTATTCTATTTTCATTAGCTATTCTTTAAGTCGAGGATTTGCCTCCGGTGACTTATACAAAAGGACAATAACATATGATATCTATTTTAGTTATCAGCACTTCCACCATATCATTTGTGTTGTTCCGCAGCTCAGTACATACGAGTGTGTCTTTGGTGGCTGGCCCCCACCACCCTGTAGCCTGTGCTACCTCTCACATCTGAAAAGATTGTATTCCGGTAACCATATTTCACCATCATTATGTGTGAGTTTCAGTAAGGGCTGCGCGAACACTGCATTTGTCTCATGTAGGCGCCCAACTATAATGTGCACACTTATTTGCGTGCTTTCATACCCTGAATGTTGGCATGTACGAGTGATGTTAAGGTACTGGTGGAAGGTCTAGGTGCTTGTGTGTTCTGGTAGGGGACGGAGGCCACTGTTTGTGTGTCATCTGAAGTCTTTGACAGAGTTGGTAGTAGAGGTGCTAAAATGATGGGCGGGTAGAACAGTTGGGCCTGCCAGCCTGCAGGCGAGGAACTGAGCTCAGTTCCTCCAACCCGTCCTTCTATATAGCACGTCGCATTTTGACGTATACTTTACCTAAGGCCAACAAAACAAAAACTGTCGTACTAGAAAATGGCAGCAGCTCGCGAAATTGACACAATGTCCCCGTTTTCTGTTCGTAGGTCCCCCTGGTAGTTTAGGATGAGGCACTTTAGTACACCTGTTTCATGACGTTGGGAACGCTGGCGAGAACGGACTGTGCTATAACAACTTAATATCTCTCGCTGCTCGCGTAGCCTGCCGTAGGGTGCCGTAGCCTGCCGTAGGGTGCCGTAGCCTGCCGTAGCCTGCCGTAGCCAGCCGTAGCCATCGTCTGTGTGTTGCGTGTCAGGAGGAAACATGCGCCTGTATATTGCAGGAGGAAATACAGCGGTGAAAGTGACACAATGACCCATGTAAAATAGAGGAGAGCTGTGCGAGGCATTATTACAGAGGCAGCGGGGAGGGAGAGTAGAGAGGCAGGCCTGACGCAGACAGTGAGAGGAAGGTAGGACTTGCAATTGGAAATATAGTGACAGGGAGTGATGTTAGAGTGAGAGGGGCTTGGGAGAGGCACAGAGTGAGAGCCTGATAAAGGGAGCATGTTATTAAGAGGGGGTGCGAGTCAAGGGTGTGTGAGAGGGGGAAAGTCGAGTGAGAGTGGAGTGCGAGAGAGTGTCCGCCTACCTTGAGGTGCTTCCGGGGCTTAGTGTCCCCGCGGCCCGGTCGTCGACCAGGCCTCCTGCTCCTGCCTAGCCACCTTAAATGATAGTACCAATAGTAACTATTGGGTGGACAGTACCAACATATAATGACGGATCACCAGTACACCACTTTTTCTTACTATTGTGGTGTACAGTCCGCAAATATAAATCTTAAGACGAAACTTAAATATTCCTAGGCCATTATAGCACATATATAAGTACTATATTAGGCCTAATATAGCGAGTATTAGGCATGGAATTACTAGGAGTGCCCAGTGTCCAGCTGAGAGGTCCAGTCAGTGTCCAGCTGAGAGGTCCAGTCAGTGCCCAGCTGAGAGGTCCAGTCAGTGTCCAGCTGAGAGGTCCAGTCAGTGCCCAGCTGAGAGGTCCAGTCAGTGCCCAGCTGAGAGGTCCAGTCAGTGTCCAGCTGAGAGGTCCAGTCAGTGCCCAGCTGAGAGGTCCAGTCAGTGTCCAGCTGAGAGGTCCAGTCAGTGCCCAGCTGAGAGGTCCAGTCAGTGTCCAGCTGAGAGGTCCAGTCAGTGCCCAGTTGAGAGGTCCAGTCAGTGTCCAGCTGAGAGGTCCAGTCAGTGCCCAGTTGAGAGGTCCAGTCAGTGTCCAGCTGAGAGGTCCAGTCAGTGCCCAGTTGAGAGGTCCAGTCAGTGCCCAGCTGAGAGGTCCAGTCAGTGCCCAGCTGAGAGGTCCAGTCAGTGCCCAGCTGAGAGGTCCAGTCAGTGCCCAGCTGAGAGGTCCAGTCAGTGCCCAGCTGAGAGGTCCAGTCAGTGCCCAGCTGAGAGGTCCAGTCAGTGTCCAGCTGAGAGGTCCAGTCAGTGCCCAGCTGAGAGGTCCAGTCAGTGTCCAGCTGAGAGGTCCAGTCAGTGCCCAGTTGAGAGGTCCAGTCAGTGTCCAGCTGAGAGGTCCAGTCAGTGTCCAGCTGAGAGGTCCAGTCAGTGTCCAGCTGAGAGGTCCAGTCAGTGTCCAGCTGAGAGGTCCAGTCAGTGTCCAGCTGAGAGGTCCAGTCAGTGTCCAGCTGAGAGGTCCAGTCAGTGTCCAGCTGAGAGGTCCAGTCAGTGTCCAGCTGAGAGGTCCAGTCAGTGCCCAGCTGAGAGGTCCAGTCAGTGTCCAGCTGAGAGGTCCAGTCAGTGTCCAGCTGAGAGGTCCAGTCAGTGTCCAGCTGAGAGGTCCAGTCAGTGGCCAGCTGAGCAGAATAAAGGGACACCGTGGGATCACTTTAACGACCTGAGGAGCTTAAGAGACATGTGGGGCAACGCTGGGAACACGGGCTCACCATAGCCCGTGCTACTTGGAACTTTGTTCCAGGTAGCGAATCTTTTAACAACACAAACAAACGCTGGGAAGATTTCTCTGTTACTGTTCATGTTCCTGCTGTTTACTGCTGCTCTTTAATATTGTTATTATTACTGCTGCTGCTGTTACTGCTGCTGTTGTTACTGCTGCTGCTGTTACTGCTGCTGTTACTGCTGCTGCTGTTACTGCTGCTGTTGTTACTGCTGCTGTTACTGCTGCTGTAACTGCTGCTGTTACTGCTGCTGTTACTGCTGTTGTTACTGCTGCTGCTGTTACTGCTGCTGCTGTTACTGCTGCTGTTACTGCTGTTGTTACTGCTGCTGTTACTGCTGCTGTTACTGCTGTTGTTACTGCTGATGTTACTGCTGCTGTAACTGCTGCTGTTACTGCTGCTGTTACTGCTGCTGTTGTTACTGCTGCTGTTACTGCTGTTGTTACTGCTGCTGTTACTGCTGCTGCTGTTACTGCTGTTGTTACT